TAAAGGTGAGGGGCCAGGAGGGGGGAGATGGCGGCACTCGAGATTGGGGGGGAGGGCGCTCTGAAATTCACGCCATACAACCGATCGGTGGCTATAGAGCCGCTGATAGGTTGTATGTGAAACAGCCGTTAACGGCTGTAGTAACGAGCGGGTCTTTCCTGCCCCCTAGCGCGCGCGAGCAGGAATAAAATGCCGTCTCGCGACGGCAACCCGCGCATGCGAGTCTGCCGTCCGTCCGTTTTTTCTCAACGGGCGGACGGCAAGAGGTTAAGCAACAAGTTTTTTTTTTTAGAACAATTATAAAATATATAACAGCACAATTCCACACATAAAAAAAAGGTATTTTTCTCAAATGTAGAAGTCTTTCAATACCTCAGCTTTTTCTCTTAATGTTGTTTTTATTAACTTGCGATCAGGAATACTAATGACAAAATGGATTGCTGTAAATATTAAGAAAAAACAACTTGAGTATATCATGCTGGTTTTATGGAGACTCTGTTGGCAATTTAATGGCTGTTTGTGCAGCATCAGTGACATCCAGCAGAGTGCTTTATTAAGGGAAGATACAGTATGCATTGCCTCAATATGTCCGATCCTCTATTACTTAAACATAATAGAATGCTTGAAAGAATGAATGACATGCAGCCAAATATAAATGCATCCTGAATCATATTTTTTTGGCTGTGATGGCTGCTTCGGAGACTCTTGGGGGGTTGTAATCTCCTGTAGTTTTCAGAAGGCATGAAGCCCAGCTGTCTTTGTCAGTACTACCGAAGCTAGTCATCTTAATCACACATAGCAAGGGATTTGAATTCCTCATAGCGGTTTTCTGTGATGGAAAAGCAGCTTGCAATGTTACAGGTGAGTATTCCCAATTAGAACTCCAGGTAGGCAGCCAACCTGCTCTTCATACGCAGACTGCTGTTATTATTCATCTTAACCATACAGTTAACACTATAAGAGAAAGAACAAAATTAAAAATAAAAGCAAATATTTAAAAGATACATTTTATCTGCAGACATTCACAAACAAAAACTCATAACTATGTAATGTAGCATTTCTCATCTTGAAGGTGGCTGCTATATTGTCAAACATATTTGCTGACTCCTGTCTAAGGCTCCATTCACACTTAGCGACACTTACCTCGTGCGGAACCGCACGGCCGGGAAAGCGCGACTGTTCGGGGCGGCATTCCAGCGACGATCTCGTGACCTTCACCGTCGGGCTGCATGCAGAATTAGAAAAATTGCGCGACATCCGCGGGAAAAAGGGTCCCGCACAGGCGACACGCGACCGTGACGAGCGACATGGAGCTGTTCAACAGAACAGCTCCATTGAAAATCATTGGCCGCCGACTTCTCGCAATATCACGCTGCAAATATGCGCGATATCGTGGCGGAAATCGCTTGATTAAACGCCCAGTGTGAATGGGCACTTAAGGCCAGGGGACTATTTAACATGAAACAAAAGATTTCAAAGCCACTGAGTTTAATTCAGAAGCCAATCGTTCAATCAGCTAGGGAACACACACTTCCAAAGTTTAAAGTTAAAGTGACATTAAACCCTCAGATTTTTTAACATAAAACAATACTGTAATGTGTGCCTTACTGTAATCCATGGTAGTTTCCCTTCTCTTTGCTGCTCTTCCTTTTAAATCTGTATCTGTTCTCATGCTTGGGGAGAACTTCTGTTTTGCAGCAGACTGCCTTGTCTCTGAAATGGATACATGGTGTCTGTGTGTACGTTTGCAACCTGAGCCAGCACTACAGGAAGAGGCACTCAGCTGCAAAGGGAAGTTCTCCCCAAGCATGAGAAGACATGAGGATTTAAAAGGAAGAGCAGCAAAGAGAAGGGAAACAACCATGGATTACAGTAAGGAACACATTACAGTATTGTTTTATATTAAAAAAATCTGAGGGTTTAATGTCACTTTAAAGCAAGCCTGTCACTAGAAGTGACAGGGTAAAGTATGCGTAAACACAGAGCAGAAAATGTAATATGTTGCAGCATTCCAATCCTTAAATGTGTTCTTGTTTAGGCTTTTTGTAGGCTAGTAACACACTTCCTTTCTTAGGGTGGCTCCACTCTATGGAGGAGCAACATAGCCACCCTTGGACATTGTTATCCAGTAGGGAAGGTAGTGTAGACACACTAGCAGTTTTAGATGGACTTGACTAACAAATTAAAACTGAACTCCAGATAACACTTTTTAAGCAGTCACTGCGACAGTCTTTTTTTTCCTTTTGGGATAAAGGTCTTACATAAATGAATAAAAGCTGACCATTGTAAGGACCCCTGTCAGTGGTAAATGGTTTGTTTCAACCTTCTAACTGCCACATTTCCTGGAGAACTTGACCTGTTAACAGAAGTTACAAAATGACAGACTTACTGGCTGGATCACCAGGTGAAAATACATTGCCATGGGCAAATGCTCCAGATTTTGTCTGTTGCAGTTTTGATAAATTCCACCATTGTGTTAATAATTACAGGGATCTCAAGTCTCCCTGATGTTCAGGGAGTCTCCCTCTATTAGTTAGCGGCTCCCCGACGTCCGCGAGAGAGGCATTTTCTCCCTGAAAGGTTTACTGTGAGTAAACCTTTCCGTTAAGGTATCAGTGGGCAATTTCCGGTGACGTCGATGTCCGTGACGTCACCGGATCTCCGACGGAAGCCGGCGGAGAGGTGAGTACTTTGATCGATCAAAATAATTTTGATCGATCAAAGAAATTAACGATTAATCGACGGATTAATCGTTAACTTCCGCACCCCTAATACATATCATTATTATTACGTTTATATTCTGACGACGACCAATGTAAAAAAACAAAAAAAAAACAGAAAGGGCACCTCCCTGAAAATGAGACAGGAACCTCCCTGAAATAAGGTTTTGCAGGTTGGGATGTCTGTAATTAAGGTACTTGAATGTATTTGAAAGATAAGCAAATCGGCTTATTCATTGACAGTTTCATTGTCACAGGTCGGCTAGAACTATGAGGATGAGTGATAAGCACTCACCTCATAGTTCTCCTTTAACTCATCCGAAGTTAACAAAAATTCGGAGGAATCCGAATACCAAAACTAACTGACTTTCCGACCCGAATCCCCAACTTTTTTGCCTGTGCACATTTCTACTTTGTATGTAATCAGGCAGGCCTTCATACTACATAGTTGTATAGTCAGATTGCATAGTATATGGTTGTCCTTACTGTCAGACAATCACAGCAGTGAAAGGGTAACCAGAGGTTGGTACTCAACATGTATACATTCCGCCTTGGGGTCACCATACATTTTAAAATCAAGCTTAGACTTACCAAAACTATATAAGACTCCGTTCACACCGGGCGGTTCGGCCACACGGATCCACCAACATGAACGATATACCTTTCTAAGGGGACCATTCATGCAACCGCGCGATCCGAACCGGCCCCCGGCCAAACTGCTTCCTGCACTATTTTTGCCTTGCTGATCAGTGCGGTTTCCATACAGGTTTCAATGGAACCACGCTGATCAGCGCGGTTTTGGGCGTTTTCAATTGCCTTTCAGCACTGAAGCGCACTTAGAAACTCGAGATGAAATATGTAAAACTGTAAACTTATGGATTAGGATATATATACATATCTGTGTATTTATAAATAAAGCTGCTGCTCTAGGGACACTGGGGTCAAAATGTATGGGTCACCAATAAGTGAACAAAAGAACTATCAAATGCGTGTTATTAACACACAATAAAAGTGCTTATAATCTTTAGTGCATAATCTGCTACCATATCCTGGTGGTAGCCAGTGAGATATTAAATACAAAATTTCACTTCGTGCAAAAAAAAAATTATTATACAAAAATTATAAGAAAATTCCTTGTTGCAATCAAATATAAACGTGCATCAAATCAATCCAAAGGGTCATGTATGCAAGTGAAAAATCATAAAGTGAGTCCAAACTGTTATTTAATCCAATTGTATATAATATATTGATGACAAAAACTTCAAACAGGTGCTTTGCAATCTTTCTCCCACACCGTGTGTTCACGCCAAATTCCCCACTGGGGTGCGCACTCACCAAACCAATATCGTTTGTAGGCAATAAAAAGATGAGAAGCAGATACGTCCCAGCAAGCGGCTCATCAGAGTCCCATAGATCGATATTTAACGAGAATAAAAAAGGAAACTCCTCATGGTTTAGTCGACATCAACATGTTACTAGTAACTTACAGTTTGAAAGCAAAAAGATCGGCCGCTCACAGGCAGCGTGTAGATGTCCTGTATTTCCTTGTTGTGCGTGGTATTGAGATGTGTAGCCCCGACCTGACGCGTTTCGTCATAAAAGATGTCCTCAGGGGGATCGCAGGTCTGCACTAAAGATTATAAGCACTTTTATTGTGTGTTAATAACACATATTTGATAGTTTTTTGGTTCACTTATTGGTGACCCTGAGCGCTGCACACTCATTTACATGCACTTAGAAACTCCCAAAACCTCCCCTTTGAGATCAGCGCGATAGCCGCGATGATCCGCAACGGCCCAGGTGTGAATGGGCTCTAAGATCCCACCTAAACCATCCAATCAAGTTGTAACTGGTCAGGCAGGCTCTCACACCACACAGCTGTTGGCAAATTGTACAATCAGCTTGTAACATGTGTGATGAGCCCTAGACAGGTATCAAAGTCATACATGGCTGGGCGCTGCATACACAGCAAAATGACAGCCCCCCTCCTCCCGATGACGAATCTCTCCATGCAGCAGCCGGCTGTCACGTGGCACTAAAATCATCCTAGATCAGCAAGTTAGCGTCACCCCGTGACGTCACCCATCCCCACTGAATTCCTATAGCACAGAGCTCACCGGTTCCGGCAGCCTCCATTGTCCAATCAGAAAAAGAGAAGGGCGGGGTACTTGGCAAGAGCAGCCAATCACAGTTCAGCAGTGAGAGGGACATGTCCGGGCAAGACCGTAGAGAAGTCGGTATAGGAACACGTGTCATCTGTACAGTTCTGGGTCCGGAGAGTCGCGGGGGACCGGCGGGCGGGTGTCAGGTGAGACGAAGTCTGTTGGAACGTTGTAGATTTATAGTAATGCGAGGCCGGGCTCGCTGGTAGGTCGAGTTCTGTAGCAGCTGGACACACATGGCCCACGTGAATAATGCAGATGTCAGCACTAGCTCCTCTATACTCCCTGACGGCATATGACGGCGACATGTCTCTGCACTGTGCCGTTCTTTGAAAGATGGGTGCACCCATTAGTGATATGCTGAACGTTGGTGAAAATACTAGACGACTGTTGTAGGAGGGTTCTTGATTTTTACAGATGAGGCCTCTTACCCCAATATTAAAGTGACATTAAAGTCCAAAAAAAGTTTCCCTCCCCCCCCATGTTAATGTTAGCACTTACCTTTAAATGATGTCTCTTATTCCGATCATCTTCCTCTTCTTTCCCCATGTTTTCATCTGTCCCTCCAGCGGTGTGACGTCACTCCGATCCAGCGCTGACTGCTCTGTCCCTCCGATCCAGTGGTGTCTGCATGCTGGTGCACGCGTCCATAGACTTACCTTGCGTCTCTGCTCGTCTCCCGGCCGAGAATCGGAACTGCGCATGCGCCTGCCCAAGATCCTTTGCGGCCGTACTAGCAGTTCCTGATTCTCGGTGCGGGAGCGCGGAGCGATAACGAGGTATGTTTAAACCTAGTTAAAGCGTTTTTTTTTTAAACTTCTTGCCTATATCTACTGCTTGCTAGCAGTAGATATAGGCAAACAAACCGGAGGGTTTAGAACCCCTTTAAGATGTCACATGACAGTGAGGAGAAGTTAGGCTCCATTCACACATGAGCGGTTTGCGTGGAAAGGCGTTAAACATAAAAAAATCAATGCTTTCCAATGTGCATTGTTCACACTAGGGTGGTGTCCGCACAGTACGAAAATGTGTGTCCTGCAAAAATGTCCTACTGTGCTTTTAGGTGCATATTCCATGCGCTTGCGGCTATTAATATAGCCACAAATGTGTGGAATCTGTGCGTTTGATGTGTGGGAAGAAGCGTGCATTTTCACGGCCACATTTAGGTTGGCATTAAGAAGTAATAGCACCACAAACGTGCTGCACAGTTTTACTGGACGTTCCCTGGTCTGTTCCCACTCTCCATCCTAACCCCGACTGCTGTGGTCCTGGGCCCTCCAGAGGAGTGGGGGACCCTAAAAACCACGAGGGGGGTGGTAGTGATCCAGCACGATTGCAGGTTAGTATAAGTGATCTGGGTGGCAGTACATCCGCCCAGATCAATTGTAATTAAGGAGCTGGGCCAGCGATGGCCGTTTACATACAAGCGGTCCGGCATCTGTGAAGACGCCCGATCGCTTGTATGATGGAAGTGAAGGTGCGCCTCCCTCCTTACCTCTGGTCGCCGTCGCTGTCCCCGCAGCGATCCCGGGCCTCCATCCGTCCCGGGCGATGTGGCTCTGTGCACTGAGAACGGAGGAAGAACCTACCAGATCTCCCTCCGCTCTCCTCCCGGTCTCTGAATGCAGGAAGTGATGATGTATATTACATCACTTCCGCGTTCCTCTGTCACTCTTCGGTACAGGAACCGGAGAGAAGCTGATGAAGCAGATCTGTGCTTCATCAGTTTCTCTGGGGGTCCCTAGGTGACAGGGGTCTTAGAGACCCCTGATGTCTCCATAAAGGGGACCTGTAACTGTAATTTGTTATTACATAGGGTACTTATTAGCACCCTATGTGATAATAAAGTTAAGTGTAAAAAAAATTCTCACAAAATAAATAAAAATTTACACACACAAAACAAACAAAAACACCACAATTTTTTTTTTAAAGTCACCACTCTCTGCAGGGAGAAGATTGGTAACTGATCGATCATCAATATGTGATCGCTCAGTTCTCGATCTATAGAGCCAACGTGGGACCGCTTCATTGTCACACGTCAGCTCTAACTATGGAGATGAGTGAAATTCACCCCCCTCATAGATCTCCTTTGATATACAATACAAAGAGAGGGAATTCCCTTCTTAGACAGTTGTCATTGGAATAGGTATCCCCACATTGCAAGATTTTCCCTTCAAACATTTCTGATTTCTTATAACTTTCAGCCACAAATGTATAGACGGTGGTGAAACTACCCAAATGGACACAGAAAGCAATAAGACCTGGGGTTCCTACTACTTCCCTATGCTATCCAAAACTAAAGATATACTTCAATCTCATGAAGGGCCAAATGTATTAAGACTGAACTCTGAGCAGAACTCTTAATACATGTGTACACATACATACAAACGTCATGAATTTCAAGTGTTGTTGCAGCCATGAGCTTAGGGTCATTTTCTTCAGCTGGCTCCCAGCTATCCAGTAAAAGTGATCTGGGTGGTTCTAGAGCCGTCTGATCCCTTTTATTGGCCTGTATGTGTGACAACCCAGCAAGCTGACAGCCCTGAACCCGGAAGCACTCAGAGCACTTGTTGGCTGAACATCCGGGTAAGCAGGCTGTTAAGCATAATCCTGTGCTTGATTTGCTGGGGTGAAAGGCAGGGGAGAGGTCTAATAAACCCACTGATGTCTTCATAAAGAGAACCTGTCACCTGCCCATATGCTATCACATAAAGGGCTGGTTAAAATAGTTGGGGAAAAAAGTGTTGAACAGAAATAACGGGGCGCCCACATGTATGGAAACAGCGACTGCACCACACACGTTTGGTGATCGCTGCAAACGTCAAAGGGAGAGCAGTAATTCTAGTTCCATTGTTGTTTGTTAACTCTAAATTGATGAGTGGCAAAGGCTTTTAAAACATCGCCTATGGACAATTTTGGGTTTCACAGGCACATTCAATTTTAAGGTTTGATGTTTTTGGTATCTTATGTACTTGATGCAACCCACTTTTATAATTTACCAGAAATTCGTTCTTCTACTGTGTTTGTTATACTGAATTTCTAATGTATTTCTTCCTGAAAATATAGATTTAATAAACAATTGTGTGAGACACAAAAATGCAACTACTACGGTTTTATTCTGCAGGGCTTCTGCTTTCAGAAAATGTTTCATTGTTTGAGGAAGTAATTTTCGACCAAAATGCACATTTTATGTGTGTGGATTAAAAATAGCTCTGGACACGAAGTGGTTAATGCCTATACTTTAGTGCTAGCCAGGACTGCCTTTTACTTCACAAAGGCCTGAATTCTGTATGGATTCTCTAAAGTGCTTGAAACAGACCTAAAGGATTTGGGTCCACGCTGACTTAATAGCACAACGTAGTTCTTCAGACTTGTCCGATGCACTGTAATGCTGCAAACCTCCTATTCATCTCAATCCCAAGGGGTTTTTTTTTTGGGATTGAAATATGTGAACTGTGCAGGCCATTGAAGGCCACACATTGGAATACAATTTAAAAAAATATGATAGGATTGAAAACATGAAACCTATCCTTGATGACTTGTTTTTGAAGTGGAAGCGTCATGGTGCCCCACAATCTAATCTGCATTTGTTTGTTTTGGGTCAGTGACGGTCCAAATAGTAAACATTTAGGTACAATCACAGTCCTGGACTTCACACCTCCATCTATATTTACGTATTCTGATGAATTCACAATCATGCTCATGAGACCGCCAGGAGGGATGTCACATTATCTCTTCACTAAGGCCAGGTTCACTCGCTGAAAAACGCTCAGCAAGTGAAATCCCATACTTTCCTATGGGCATGGTTCCCACCTGGGTGTATTTCAGCCCGTGGAAACGCGCTAAAAAACGCCCTACGCCTAAACAAGTACAGGAGCTTCTTTGGCGCGTTTTTCAGCGCGTATCCATTGTTATTCCCGAGTGTGGCTCGGGGTTAACAACGCGGTACCCCCGAGCCACACTCGGGAATACAGCGTCGGACTTACCTTGTCCGCGATCCCCGGGTTCCATCCCTTGCGAGCGGCCGCGTCGCAGGGGGGCGGAACCAGCGGGAAGTTTGAAAGTTTTTTTTAAAAACACAGAAAATAAAGGAGAAAAAAAAATCATACCGCCAGGGAGATATAAAAACGTGCGGTTCACTGAATGAAAAAAAACACGCCTACGGTACGCCCAGGTGTGAATCCAGCCTAAGACCCCATTCACACTGAGCGACATGGAAATCGCGCGACTTCTTCCTTCCTATTGGGCTGTATGCAATCAGGAGCAATATCGCTCAAAATCGCTCTAAAAAAGGGTCATGTAGGAGCGACAAGCTACCATCGACGAGCTACAAGCGATATTGAGCGATATTGAGCGACGAGATGTGAACAGCTACATTGAAATGTATTGGTGAAGCTACATAGAGCGATATAGCGCGGAAATATGAGCGATATCGCTGCATAAATCGCTCAGTGTGAGGCCCCGTTCACACCTTTCCGTTTTGTCGGGCGTTCAACGCTCTATGAACGCTCTACAAAACGTACAACCATGAAAATCCCATTGTTTTCAATGGGTATGGTTCACACCTTTCCGTATTTCCGCCCGTCTGAACGCCCTACAAAAGTACATGTACTTCTTTGGGCCGTTTTGGAGGGCGTTTTCCATTGGGATACAGCCAAGTAGCCTTCGGAATCGCGCGACAGACGTGCATGCGTAATACGCCTAGGTGTGAACCCAGCCTACATGGGGCCTAAGAGGGACTTTCTAAAGTCATTTTTGTATCCTCTTTCATTAGGGAGATTCTAGGGATGGACCAATACCATTTTTTCCAGACCAAGTATAAGTACCAACAGTTTTCCTCAAGTACTCCCCAATACCAATTACTGATACTTTTTTTTTTTTTCTTTCAGTGTCATGTGGCATTTTTTTCTAAAGCAATACTGACTTATGATTTTAGGACAGTGGTGGAGCGCCAGGGCCTGGTCACAGCTGCAACCGCTCTCACCAGGGGTACCGATCGGTCTCGCAGGCAGTGTGCCTTCACAGAATGATTGAGGAGATTTTCGCCCGGTGATTCACAGGATGGCTGTCAGGACCTTCCCGGGGACCACGGCAGCCTTCCTCCGAACAGCAACGCCTGTTTACAGCACCGGCTTCAGTTTAAACATTTAAGTGCTGGTATCTTCCCTTATTATCGGGGCATTTTCACGAGTATTCATGAAAATGCCCAATATCGGCACCGATACAGGTATCAACATCAGTACGTTCCTAGAGATTTCCCTTTACTTCCTGACCAACAGTCCCAACAGAAAGTGAGGTGATCACCTTCTAGCCAATTGTGACCAGAACAAATGCCCATTTTGGAAGATTTTTTTTCGGTTTCTGTTGTGGTGGCAGCTTAAGTCTTTAGAGTGCCCATCACTTTCAGTCACCAGGCTAGTGTAGAGGGTGAATCTCCCTAGCATGGAAACAGACATAAAAAAAAAACCTGACGTGGGTTACAACCACTCATCACTAGCTAGATCTAAAGAATAAGTTTGAGCTGTAGATAAAAATGCTGAGCCCTTTGTTAAAGCTGAAACTTAGTTATGTAGGAACTGTCTTCCATTGCATGAGTGATTGTTAATGGACAGGCCTTGTAGGTTTGTCTGGCACTGAAATATTTGTAGGTGGGTGGGCAGTGTATACCATCTTCACTATGTCTATTGCTAAGTGACAGGTGCTCTCCTTAGTAGTAGTTTTTAATCTTTAAATCCCTTTTGTGTGTCATCTCTAGCAATCCCTGAAAATGGAAGGCAGAGCTGCCAGCAATTTGTTTTATGGCTTCCGAGGTTCCAGTCAATACCTGAGCTCTTCGCATAAAGATATCGTAATGGAGAAGCCTAAAGTTTCATGTGTGAAGAGCCACAGAAAGAGTAGAAAACACCAACGTTTTGTGAAGTACAAAGAGTTCCTGCAGCAGCATGGCACTCGGAAACTCAAGACCATATCACGAAAAGGAGACGGTTCATGTTGTGCAACTAATCAAGACAGCCATTGTAAGCTACATGTAGATGAGCTGAGCACAGATTGCTTGGATGACCAGTCAAAACTCGATAAGATAAAGGCCATGCTTTGTTCTCTTCCAACCATGGCTACAAGCTCCTCTGTTTGTTCGACAGCATGTGACTATGACAGTGGCTTGTCCATGTCAAGCAGTTCTCATTCTAGCAGACCTTCGTCCCCTTGCTCATGGCTAAAGCCTGGGAAGTGTGTTGCCATTGACTGTGAGATGGTTGGCACAGGGCCTGGTGGTCGGATCAGCGAGCTGGCACGGTGTAGTATTGTTGACTACAGAGGAGACGTTGTATATGACAAATACATTAAGCCACAGCTGCCAATAACAGACTACAGAACACGGTGGAGTGGTATCACCATACGTCACATGAAAAACGCCATTCCGTTTAAAGTTGCGCAGAAAGAGGTAAACGCTATGATACTTGGAGCTGAAATGATTCCATCACTTAATTTTAATGTAATACTGTTTTATGTCAGAAAATTTGGTTAACTGGCACTGCATCATATATTGCATAGTATTACAGAAAGTCTGCAATGGTGTCTGCCATCAAATGCCATTCACAGTTAAACCCCTAATGTGCCCAAGGTTTGCTTTAATGTGAATGAATCTACAAATTGAAGCAATAGCCAACACATTACCATAGTTATCTTTTGTTCTTTGATTCTGAAGTGTAAATGTATGGGAAAGTTGGGTCAGATCAGTTTGTGGTTTTTGCTAGAAGAATTTAAAAAGCCAAATGGGTGATACATCTCCAGTGCCATCTTCTATTTCTTTGGTCCACGAGTCCATCTGCCCACTTTCTGCAGTTATTACAAAGGGAGTTCACTTTTCCTGTTGGATTATGCATTTATCTTTTACCATACAGATTATATAATGAATATTGAGATTTGTAATCCTGCAGGAACATAGAGCTATTGAAAGAGAACTATGGCCCAACTTTGTTTTTTGCCATAGTTTTCTTTATGGTGGCAGGAGGAAATTTACTATGTCCTTCTGTGTCCCAAAACTCTGCATCTAGCAGGCTATTGACCACTATATGCTGACAGCGCAGAGCCACGCTGCAGCTGGGAAGGATCCCGACCAATATTGTCAGGTGGCTCTGCCTCTCTAGAGTCAGTCAGCTGTGCCCGCCTTCCTGTCTGTCCCTCCAGTCAGAGGGGGGAAGCCCTGCGGGGAGCGGTCACTCTCTGCAGGGAGAGGATCGGGAATTGAGCGATTAGTGGGATGTGATCACTCAGTTCTTGATCAATAGAGATGACATGTAACAGCTGCAGTGTCACCCATTGGCTCTAACTGTGGAGATGAGTGGTTTTCACTCATCCCATATTTCTCCTTTTAATGACTGGGGGGAACATTGGTGAGGAGAATTTGCCACTTAAGGCTCTAAGGAAAGATGCCATTGGCTGATTAAACCCACCATTGTATACTCATAACTGAAAGTCAAGTTTTGTGAGGCTTGACCCTTTAAGGGCTAGTTCACACCAGATGCAGTCTGCTAAGTTTGGCAGCTGCATCCAAACTTTATTACAAGGCTTTCCTATGGGATTTCTGCTGCTCTGTTCACACCAGTGCAGTCTGTTCCAATGCAGTCAGAAGAAATCCTGCTTGCCCCATTTTAGCTGCACCTGATCGCAAAGGAACAATGCATCCAAAATGGGGTGGGGGGGAGCAGATTTGGAAGTGCTCTGACAGGAAGAAGGAAGCGACATCATGGTCTAATATGCATTTTGAATTTTTTAAAAAAATCGGATCACTTCATAATTGCGGTTAAAAACGCAGCAAACCCCATTGCAGCTGCGCAGACGCACGCAGATGTGATGCAGTTCTGGTGTGAACTAGCCCTGAAGTGCAACAGGTATATCCGTGAGGTGGTTTTAATATTTTATTATGAGGATATATTAATGTTAGTGCTTATCCACAGGGTCAGCCCCGTCCTAAGCCCTCATGACGTCCAGATTGCCACAAGTGAGTAGGCTTTAGGTTAAAATCTAAAAAGGGATACTTTCTAGCTCAGCGTTGGTGCATAGCAAACACTCGCCAACCTCAATTTTTTGAAAATGGCTGGGAATTGGCCTTCTACCTGCATGCTAAGTCTTGCAGAGTATGATGTATATGAAGACTACCTTTTAAACATTTTGTATTTTATCTCAATTAAATACATGCTGTAATGCCTTCTGTTTGTCTGGGATTACTCTCTGTTCAATAACTTAGAAGTAATCAGTATTGATTATGCAAGATATTTCTACTAAAATCTTTATGAAACCTGTTCTATGATTTGTCTTCCAGATCCTGAACATCCTCAAGGATAAGAGAGTAATTGGACATGCAGTGCAAAATGATTTTAAAGCTCTAAGATATTACCATCCCAAGGAACAAACAAGAGACACGAGTAGAATACACCTGCTCATCCAAATGGCAGAACTGTCACATACACCTTCTTTAAAGAGTCTAGCATGGTGTCTTCTGCAGAAACGGATACAGGTAAGATTAGGTATTAAGGATGCATCGATACCATTTTTTCCCAGATGAGTACGAGTAACGATACTTTTCCTCATATACTCGCCGATACTAATTACCGATGCTTGTGTTTTCTTTTTAGTGTCATGGGACAATTTTTCAAAAACTATACAAACGAATGATTTTAGGACAGTGGTGAAGTGTCAGGGCCCGGTCCCGGCTGTAAATGCTGAAACCCTGATAGTTCTGCCGCTGACTCCAAGCTGTAGAGCAGGGGTGCCCACACTTTTTTGTGTTAAGATCTACTTTTCAAATGACGAGCTACATGAGATCTACCAACGAGAAAAAAAAAAACCTCCCTTGCTCTCGCTCTCCTGGCTGTCTCTCCTTGCTCATCCTCCTGGCTGTCTCTCTTTTCTCTCCTCGCCCCCTAATGGCTGTCATTCCTCATTTTCTCCCCTGGCTGTCTCTCCTCTCTATCTTTCCTGTCTGTCTCTTCCCCGCTCTCTCTCCAGGCTCACCTTGCTGTATTTTGCAAACAGTGTAGTGCAGGAGGCTGTGTAAACTAATATTCTTTGATGTAATACATAGCAATTCAACCACCAGTATCAGGGAGCTTGGCTCAGCAGACTCAGGCTAATAGGTAATCATGTGTGCACAGCTAAATAAATATACCAAAATGGAATAAGGGGGCCACCATTCACGCCCTTCCTGATCTACCAGCATCAGCTTTGAGAGCTACTGGTAGATCACGATCTACCTAATGGGCACCCCTGCTGTAGAGGGACTACAAATCCCAGCGATACATTATACAGGAATGCAGAATACCACCAGCTATAGAGGACTAGAAATCTCAGCAATACATTGTAGAGCAGTGCAGAATAATATGAAGCTACTTACTGTGTTGCTCACCAGGGCTGCTAGCGGGGGTCTCGCGGATGTGGGAGGAGGTGAAGGATGTGCGACAAGGACCCCAGATGGCTGCCACGAGGTCCCCCAGTAAGCTTGGGACCTTAGGGCAGCTGAATGTATTTAAAAAAATGTTTAAAGTGCTGTTATTGGCGTTTAGTGTCCAGGCATTTTTACAGGTACAAAAATGCCCAGCATTGGGACCGATACTGATATTTGTGCATCCCTATTAGGTGTATATACTGGGTCATTTCATGAAGAACTCTGAGCAAAAATGTTCTTCACACTTGCAGTGGGACTTCATCTGCACTGCAAGGGTCAAGTGCTCATTTTCATCTGGGTGCCAATATAACAATGTTATACTTGCCGTATCCTCACTGCCGGCTGGCTGTTACAGTACTCCCTCAAGCCTCTTTCCTCTGTTCCAGTGATGGTATGTCCCTTGGCATCCTCACGTCCAGTACACAGTGTATTGAAAGTAATGACTCACAGGAGCTTAGACCGCTGGAGCGCAGGGGAGATGCTGGAAGCACTGGTCTAACAGCCAGCCAGCTGTGAGGATCAGGTAAGTATAACTTTTTTTATTTTAGTACTTAGACCTAAAATAAGCACTTAACCCTTGCAGTGTGAGGGTAGCCCCATTGCAAGGGTTAAGAAAACCTTTGCCTGGAGTGCTGTAATAGTATTTGCCTCAAAATCTAGATAAAAAGCTTTTTGGCTGGATTTTTGGGGAAAGGTTAAACTGTGTTTTTTGAGGACCCCCCCTCAGAAAAGCAGTTTCCTCTTATCCCTGGATGTAAGGCAAATAGATGATCAGCTTGATTTTAGAGTTGGCCTTTCATGTGGCCCAGCTGTTACTGCAGACACTTGGAGGTGTACATACCTGCAGATGCCTTCCAAACCTTTGTCAAAGCAGATTTCCAGACTATTGAGGCAAAGCTTTGGAACTTCTGATAGGGGCCAGAGGTTGCCTCACCGTACCTTCTGCACATTCTTATTGGCCGGTTATGCTACTTGTCATAATTTATAGACCAATAGGAATATGTGACAGCATTTTTAAAACTCATTCATGGCTGTCCTTTGGTTGTCATGATGTGTTTCACATGTCATTGTGTACACAGCCGTGGCTACAACAAAGACTTGTAGTAGACACCCTTGGCAGGCAAAGAGACAAATTAGTTGTATATGATGAACTTTCCTAATAATTATATTTTATTTTTCTTTGTGTGATGCAGGTGGGTAAAAAGGGACACTCGTCAGTGGAAGATGCTCAAACATGCATGGAGCTATACAAATTGGTAGAGGACCAGTTAGAACAAGACCTTCTTAATGACATTCAGGAAGCCACTGTAAGCATTCCAGAAGAGGACCGTACTGTAAAAAACAACCACTACATGGATGATCAATACTGGCCATCAGACTTGGATGAAGACTGCAAATGATTGCCAAATACTAAACTGTAATATGTATTCATGTATATTTAAATATTTGTTAGTAATTTTATTGCTGGTTTTGTATATTTAAATAACTTATTGAATACTGTTGGCAGTATATAGAAATGAATGAGGCAGCAGCATTATTACTTGAACCATCTGTAAGAGAAGGCTGTAACAGATTCTGTAGCAACAGGCAAATGTTCAGGGCCCATTTGCACCTTTTTGAAGCATATTTTCCTTAATGCATTTTCCACTAAAATAAATGAAAAGACATCAAGTGTTGCATTGCATTTTTTTAATACACTTAAAATTGACATGACTTTCAATGTATTTCTATTGATTTCAATGGTACACACAGGTAATAATGCCAAAGGTTGTGGTGCCTTATTCTCTACCTCATTGAACATTAATCTTTTTATTTTCACTACCCACATTGTCTTGGCATTAAATCGATGGGTAAAGATGTCTCTACTTCAGCAAACAAAAAAAATCTAAGCAGTTACTGTATATTCCTTGAAACAGTTTCTTCTTTGGCAATAATGGTAATGGGCTGGACTGTTTGACATAAGAACTGTATCTGTTGCCACCAGTCATATTCAAACCTTCACTGCAAAAAACTCTTACATCTGATTTCATTGATTTGTACCTCCAATCAGTTTTCATTCCAAAATGCCAAAATTATTACTTAGAATAATATGTACTTTTTTTTTTTTAAATAATAATTGTATAGATTTTGATGTGCGCATTACATTCAAGCTTGTGCATTTAAAGTAGCTTTTCGTCTTAAGCATAAAGATATTCTTAACTCGTGCAGTCCCCACTGCGATATGGAGAGTGTCCTGACCCCTGCTCTGGACAAGGCTGAGAGTATCCGCCTTGCTCCTCTGGATTTTCTGAAAGCATATTGCCTTGGAAACTTGCTTTCCTCAGCCAATAGTGTCTGAACTAAAAGCAAAGACTTGCACACCTAGGTGCAATTTAGATTCTATGCAGTGTGCAGAGATCTTTGCTAGAGGGCTCTGTTCCTCCCTGGATTCTCAGCAGGCAGAACACCCTTGCCTCCTGCTGCAGGTACTCTGCTGTAGACAGAGTACTTTTTTGGAAGCTCTTCACTCGGGTTTTGGTCTTTCCTCCTTGGTGATCAGGCGCTACTGGGGAAGGTCCTCCAGATGCCTTGCCTTGCTCTGACTGTAATCTGGTATATGCTCTTCGCATATTGGCCAAGATTTTGATCCTGTGCTTCACAGTTGTTGATCCTGCAAAGTCACCATCACCAAAGGAAGAGGGTACCCAGGGGAAACTGCCATAAGGGTAGACAGGAATGAACATTAGGCCTGATGAAACTAAACACCCTCTATGACAGTTAATAGCCAACATATTTATTTATTGCAGGTATTTATATAGCGCTGACAATTTATGCAGCACTTTACGTAGCTGCACATTCACATCAGTCCCTATCCTCAAGGAGCATACATTGCGGTACTCTGCTGTAGGCAAGAGTGTTCTGCCTGCTGACAATCCAGGGAGGAACAGAGCCCTCTAGCAAAGATCTCTGCACGCTGCATAGAATCTAAGGTCCCTATCTCACATGCATACATAGAGGGCCAACTTAGAGAGGAGCCAATTAACCTGCCAGCATGTTTATGGAGTGTGGGAGGAAACTGGAGTACCCGGAGGAAAACCACACAAGCACAGGAAGAACATGCAAACTCCTTGCAGATAGTGACCTGGCCGGAATTCGAACCGGGGACCCCCTGTGCTGCCCATAACATACTAAACGCATTTCTTAGATTAGGGGCAGGACAAGGCTTCTTGAGGACCTTCCCCAATAGCTTTCTGTTCAGTCAAGGAGAGAAGATCAACACCCCAGTCAAGAGCTTCCAAAAGGTACTTTGGACATACTCTTGCTTTTAAATATGTCATTACTTTGCCTCACCATATGGATGGCGCTGCATACTCAAATCTAGACCACTAGCTTATCTATGATGTAATATATCTCTCCATTCTAGAACCCCAGCACAAGGGTTAATTTTGCTGATAGCTAGAGTCCCTCTTTAATGCTGGACCTCTTTAATGCAAAGTCATTCCACAAGCATTATAAAGTGCAATGGAGGAACCAGAAGTCTCATCTCAAAAAGAAGCATATAAAATTCTATTTTCATTCCACGTGTAGAAAACTGACAAGTTGTCTTCCTCTGTTTTCTCGAATCGGGTGGCGAGACCATTCTCCTATGTGTTACAGGTCCTCTGTTGCGGGTGGGAGGTGCCAAGTGTGCACCTTCTGGCTTCCAGGTTCAACAATAAACTTAGCAAGTTTGTTTACAGGATCAGGAATCCTCTAGTGTTCATAGTGGAAGCTCTGAGGATCAGTTCAACCTGATCTACACATTTCCTCCTCTAAAACCTCTTCATTGCCTGTTCTACAGGATTGAGATGGAGGGTATCCGGTGATTCTATTTGCAACCAACTGCCCAGACTGATATGGTACTCGGACCTTATCAAACTCCTGGCAGACTCTCCATTGGCCATCCCAGATCATCTGGGTCTTCTGTCCCAATGTTCCATCCTGTTTCTCATGATTTTTTATTAAGAATTACAACCTCCTATCCCTAAAGCTGGCCATACACCTTACAATTATCTGCAGATTTTCTGTGGTGAGATGGAAAAGGTGCAACAGATTCCTCCATCTACACTTAACTGTGTGGATGGAGGAATCTCCACCTGGGCCAATCTGTTGCACTATTTCCATCTGACCACAGAAAAGCTGCAGATAATTGTAAGGTGTATGGGCACCTTTACAGCCAGGGATGGCCCCATCTTCGCTACTATTTAGATTGCAGTTGTCATGGTGATCAGCTATGATGCTAGCCATTTCAGGACTTAAAAGTTTGGTTGAGAACTGCACCAAGCACCCTGGCAACCTTGACAATTGGCATTCCCTAACACTAACTGTTCTAAAAGACATTACATCGATGGGTAAAGATGCTCTTTAAGAAAGCAGTATTTGTTACTTCTGTAAAATCCTTTTTTTTTGGAGTACATCATGTGACACAGGTTCCCCTTCTTGTTCTTATTAACACTCTTACTATTGCTTGCTGCATAATTGAGGAATTATGGAAGTATGAGGTGTTATACTAGGTTGTTCTTAGAGCTTTTGCTTGCCATTGTCCAATCTCCCGAAGGCAGCAGCATAAGCCAGTAATATTGAATTACCATCCTGTGCCCTGTAATGTACTCCAAGAAAAGTCTTTTATGGCAAGTCAAAAAATCCTGTTTTTCTGTAAAAGGACCATCGATACAATTACAACACAGTTAAAAAACATTGTAATGGTTTTTGTGGAGAGAAGGTACTCGCAACAAATTAGTGCTGGACGATAAGGCCTCATTTACAATGGCATGGACTAACCTGTGCCCATATGCATTTATAGAACATATCTAGTAAAAATGTAAGTGCATGCAATATTTTAAAAAAGTTTCCACTGGGTGTTTACCTGCATTTAGGTGCATGCAGATCAGCTGCATTTATAGAAGATAGAATTCTCTGCTTAGAGAGGTACTTTAGGTACTCTGAACACGTAAACGTGAGTAAATTTAGGCTGGGTTCACACCTGGGCGTTTCCTATGTGCACGTTTTTTTCTGGATGTTTTTTTAGCGTATTGTCTAGCGTTTTCGCACACTTGAAAACGCGTGACGTACGCGCGTTTTTTGATTGACTACATAGGCGCCCAATAAAAAAGAATTCCGGTCTTTACGGAGGCGTCTAATAAAAAACTTCCTGAGACGCAGCATTTCCTTTTCCTGTTTCTTTGTTATACAAAGGAGAGTGTGTTGTGTGCAGTTTCTTTGTTACAGAGGAGAGTGTGCTATGTGCAGTGTATTATGGAGCTTGGCAAATGGCGACGAACCGCAGCAGTAGCTGACGCAGTGCGGCTTATGCGTTTGAGGAGAAGGAGACTGAGCAGGCGAAGGTTCTGGGTCTATCCAGTGATTGCGAACCGAGAACAAAGAGGGCAGCTTTGGGCCATGTATGAAACCCTTCGTGGCCTTAGGCAAAGGCAAGTACATCTAAATGCATGAACACTTCATCAGCAAAAGGTCTGTTTATGCTTCCCAGATCATTTCTTCTGCATTTAAATAACTTAAACGCAGGAGTGGTAGTCTGAATGTAGCCTAGTACATATTTCTCTTGATTAATCTTGAAAATAAGCCTTTAACGGAAGCTTTTATGAAAAAATACAGAAAGTAAAAACAAAAGCTGACATGAAGTGCTGACTGTGAGTTTCAACCTGTTGAATGGGACTCCTAAGGAAAAATTTGAAAAAAATAAAGATGAAAATGTCAGTCGATAGATGAAGGCTTAAAGATGAAAAGGTAACATGAAAGCTTTATTTCCTGAAACAGGAACATGGACTAAATATGCACCCGATTTGTTGTTTTGTACCTCCAGATTCTATTTATCTAGGATGATATGAAGCTGAAACCTCCACATTTCTGGCATGTCAACTGCCCGAGTTTGCCAAGGACTGTGAAACAAAGGTTCCTGTACAAGCTGTTTTATTTTGCTCAATATTTTCTGCTTACAGCCATCCCTGTTGTTAACTGCAGGGAACACTATGCCTTATAGTAAAACACACTGGGATTCCAATAGAAAAATAGTCTGTGATTACTGCAAGCACACACACTTAAAATCCACAATGAAGCATTGTGTGGAATAATGTACCATTATTAGTGTATTCTGCAGAAACATTCTTTTTTTTTTTGTAATCTGCCAGTCAGGTCAGGTTTGTATTATGCTGACAGTCCTTTGTGATCTGAAAGCGTGTGGTCACATTTTCAATCCTATTTAAAGCTAAAACCCAGTAAGCACTTATTTCAGATTTTTGGTGATTAGTAGTTTTATTTTTGATCATATTTGAAAGCAGTTTAATTACTTGAGAGATACAGACTTGTTACAAAATTGTTGATCTGTAAGTACTGTTTTCCGTACAAGCAAATTTTTACCTCGATAAACTTGATTAACCATATTTAATAAAGACAGTAAAAACGACAATGATGTGTCTGTCACATGCGGCCCTTGGGAAGCAGGTTGGGCAGCAGGGATGCAGTCTGTCTTTTTGAAAGACTAGCAGTGAGATGAAGATTAGCAAAGCATAGTCACTTTATAGTACTTTTAAAGTGACAATAAGCTAAGGAGTTAAATCTTAAAAATTCATTG